GGGGTTTATACATCAATCATTGTGATTGGTTCCCCCTTTCTCCCCCTTGATGAATCTTTAGGTAGCTAGATTTAGGGACAGGGAGGTTGTCCCTCCCATGCCTGCAAAGGCCCCTACAGAGGAGGTTGGAAAGAAATCAGGCAACCATTGAACACCTAACGAGAAACCCAAACTGAGCATGCACAGACTATGGCCCCCCAGGCCCAGGTAAAACCAATACCTTGGGCACACCCACATCACAGGTGAGCCTAACTCAGCCAATGGGGTCAACCAGTACCTTCAACCAAGCCTCCCAGCAGAGGTGTTAAAAGTCAGCTGCAGGAAAGGCAATCTCTCTCTTTTGCTCTGGTCTTGCAGCAGGTCGGAGGGCAAGGGCTCACCCGCTGCCCTGGCATGCCCCCTCAGAGCCCGCTCCAGGCCTGCTCAGGGGCCCACATGCGCTTGGGCTCATAGGTTCTTGCTCACTTGATCTCTTGGCCCCTGGGATTTCCCAGTCCCACACGTGTGAGTGTTCTTTTCCACGTGGTTTTTTGAGCACAGGTGTAAACCCCAGCGCAGCTTCAGTGAGGCTTGATAGCTTTGTACACTTTTGTGACTGTAAAACTGGAAAGCCTTCCGTTCCGTCATAAAAATTCCCTTGGTTAAAAAAAAAAAATTCCCTTGGATTAAAAAACGTGCTTCAAAATTCCCTTGGATAAAAAAAAAATTCCCTTGGATTACAAAACGTGCTTCAGCGTGACTTCTTTCAGTGTGCAAAGCAAAGAACCGAGGTATTACCCACTCTAGAAACCTAACAAAGTCACACTAATTTCTTTTATTTGTTACTAATTTCTCTTAAAAGTGACTTTAACCTGCACCGCAGTTTCATTTCGTGCCTTTAGTGATGCATACCAAATTCCAAAACATTAATTTCAGTCAATTGAGCCGTCAGTGGCAATGTTTTTAAATTGTATTTATTATCGCTTCTCGGCCTTTTGGCTAAGATCAAGTGTAAATTGTATTTATTAGTAAGGTCAAGATAAGAAAGGAGTTTGGGCTTTGATTATAAAATGCAGCATCTTTCTCTGGTGACTTTGGCCAAGCCTTTCGTCATTTTTACGAATGTCTTTGCTGACCTCCATTTTTCTGGCTCGAATTGCCCTCATTCTATTAAAAAACACCTTGCCAACATTAGTTCGCGTTTTAGCAGACGTTTCCACACGGTTAACTTGCTACTGATCGGTCTGGTTTTTGTCTCTTCCACAGAGACCTGCCTTTTATCTTCTAGATCTGATTTGTTACCAACCAGCAGAAATGGAACATTCTCATCTTCCTTTACTCTTAAACTCTGCTCCTTGAGTTCGCTGTTGCTGCAAAGGGTTCCGTTCCTGTAACCTAGGCGGCACCGAGGAAACCTTCCCCACTTCGGAAATCATTGGTCTCTGATTGCAGCAGAAGCCTCCTGCCCAGCTGGCTCTAAGGCATCAATCGGAACTTCCTCCCCAAGCGAGACTTCCTTCTTCCGATCACTGTCTGCTTTGGTGGGCTGATTCATAGCCCCCCACAAACTCATCGTACGTGAACTGCCGTGTCAGAGTGGGCTTCCCCACACCACTTTGGGTAAGGCCAAAAAATTCTTGGGCTTATTTGCGGCCATCTTTCTGTTGCAGTTTTTGCGGAAGGACCAATTAGAATGCGGACGCCGGAAGCCACGGCTGCGCAGTCTCCGGAAGCCGCGGCTGCGCAGACTCCGGAAGCCGCGGCTGCGCAGACTCCGGAAGCCGAGGCTGCGCAGACTTCTTGTCCGGACCGAGGAACCCGGCGGCGCCCGAGAGCAGCGCACGGGAAGCCGGAAGTCTGTTGGCCGAGCTTGGGTGGCTGGAGGAGGAGAACTTCGGTCGCTCCACTCTCAGGAGATCCACCCTCCTCGGGGTTTTTTCTTTCACACTGCGTTGCAATCCATACGGAAGGCTGCAATCCTTGATCTTCATCAGCAAGTGCTTCGAGCCCTCCTCAATCCTGGTGCTGCCTTCTTCTTAATACGGTCCAGCTCCTGGGATTCTTTGCTCAGCCTACAGATTGAATGATGAGAGGATAGCACACGGTTGCGTACCTTTCTTGATGTTAAATCATGCAGCGTGCCCTTGTGCTCTTCAGATGACAGTTCAAAATCCTTGTACAGGTTCAACATGAGCAAAATGAGTGTTCTGGAATTCCCATTCTTCTCAATGCCCTCCAATTTTGCTAGCATCCACACAGCCCAATGCCTTTGCATAGCCAATATAACACAAGTCAGCAAATAAACTTCTTTTTGGTACTCTCTGCTTTGAGCCAAGATCCACCTGACATCAGCAATGATAGTCCTTGCCCCACATCTTTTGATGAATCTGGCCTACATTTCTGGAAGCTCCTGTCTTATTAATGACTTTTACTTTCTTCATGTATAATGTTCTTGATGTCATCACGCAGCTCTCACATCTGTCATCAGCGCTCAATGTGTCAAATACGTTCTTGAGATGTTCTGGGAATACAGGTAGGATATATTCAAAGTCCTATTTTGTCTCTTATGAACTTGTTTTCATTTTTCTCAGCTTCAACCTAAACTTCCATGTGCGCAATTCATGGTCTGTTTTGGCTACTGAAACTGAGTCTCTCCATCGTCTCATCCCACAGATGTGGTCAATTTTACTTCTGTGGATTCCATCTGGAAACGTCCATGTGTATCGACACTATGCTGTTGAAAAGGCATTTGTTATGAGGAAGCTGATGGTCTGGCAGAACTCTATCATGCAAGCTCCAGCTTCATTTCGGTCACCAAGGCCATATTTTCCAACCACTGTTCCTTCCTCACTGCTTCCAACTTTCACGTTCCAATCACCAGTAACTACCAATGCATCCTGATCGCATGTTTGGTTAGTTTCAGAACTGAGAAGTTGGTAACGTTCAATTTCTTCATCACTAGCTTTAGTGGTCAGTGCATACATTTTAATAATACTTGTATTAACTGACTTTCCTTGTAGGCATACAGATATTATCCCATCACAGACAGCATTGTACTTCAAGAGAGATCTTGAAATGTTCCTTTTGACAATAACCGTGATGTTATTCCTCTTGAACTTGTCATTCCTGGCATAGTCGACCATGGTTATTGTCAGATTCAGGATGGCCAGTACCAGTCTGATTCAGCTCACGAATGCCTACAATACCCATCGTTACGTGCTCCATTTCACCTTTGATGACTCCCAATTTTCTCAGATCCATACTTCATACATTCCAAAGGTCCGGTTATTAATGGATGTTTTCAGCTGTTTCTGCTCATTTTGAGTTGTGCTACATCAGCAAATGAAGATCCTGAACGCTTTCCTCCATCCCCATCATAAAGGCCAACTCTGCTTTGAGAGGGCAGCTCTTCTGTCCGCAGTCATGTTTTGCCTGCCTTCCACCCTGAGGGGCTCATTCATCTTCGAGCCCTATATCTGATAAAAGTTACACTGCTAGTCATAAGGTTTTCGGTGGCTACTTTCTCAGAAGGGGGACAGTTTATTTCTCTTTTTTTCCCCTGTTTAAAATTTTTTTCAACAGTTTTATTGGCAAGTAATTTACATATCATATAATTCAAAAGTTCAATCATTCAATCAATAACTTTCACATACATTATAGGGCATTTTGCAGCCTGTTCTTAATCTGGAACTGCTGAAACCTATTCACCTTGGGTGATGGGGCTTAGACATAACCAAGTACCTTGAGGGAATGAGTCATTGTACCCTAGAGCCCAGGACCATTGTGTTAGTCTGGGTACTTTAGAGAAACAAATCCACAGAAACTCAGGTAATGAGAGAGTTTTACATAAAGGTTAAGTGTGCATCAAGAAAACATCCCAACACAGTGCTGCCCAAACTCACAAGTCCAACATTAACCCATATGTCCAACACCAGTCCACAAAGTCCTCCTCCATCTCACTAAACAGATACAATGATGCTGGCTGCAGGAGGAAAGCTTAGTCAGTGAACGTGTAAGCATCTCAGTGCTGGCAGGGGTCTCCACACGGCTTCTTCAGCACCCAGGACTGCATCGGGGTAGGTCCATGTGGCTTCTCCTCAGGGATGTCTTGCAGGAAGTGAGCTTTGCCAACTGAAGCAGGGAATTGGCTAAGGCAGCTGCACCCTGGTCTTACCATCAGAAAGCAAGAGACCCAAGAACTAGAAAGGTTAGGCTCGCTAAGCCATTTATCCCTTTGCCCTTCAATTAAGCCCACATGTGTCTATAGGCCAGGTTGGCACAATAAACTAACTACCTCAACCATGATCTGATCTCAGGAGACACCAAGGTCAACTGGCATGAGTCTGCAAAGACAATGTTCTATATCCTACAATAAGAAGAACAATAACACTAGAGGTATGCATATTCTGGAATAATCAGCCATTTGAGATCAAAAGGTAGCATTTACCCAAGGGCAAAATTCAGAAGGGCTCACATAGAAGGTGGAATGGAAATAGGAAACAGGAAGTGGGATCAGTAATGTTATTATGTTCAAACAGTGACGTGAAACAAACCCTGTGTGAATTACATGTAAAACGTATGATCGGCTCTGTAAACCATCATCCCATTCATCATAAAGGTTTTTAAACATGTAAAGTGACGGAGCCAGAGTTGGGGTTCCCGACCACGTTTGCCTTAATTAAACGACCACTGTGCTGAACTGTAAGTAGGACACTTGTAAAGTGCAGGACAAAACAAGAAAACGCATTTTGCCCGGGCGGTCTACCAGATGCAGAGGGACCTTTGCGAAATCCCTGCCCCGCACTCCGGTCCAGCAATCCTTAGGTGGGGAGCCTGAGTCCAGCCCTTGGGAGCCCTGGTTCCGCCCCCAGCGCAGCGCAACCAATGGCGTTGGTCGGCCCGGCCCAGCGCCAGGCCGGCTGCACCTGGATTGGGTAAACGGGGGTGGGCGGGGCCTCGGGAACAGCCCCGGGAAGGAGTGAGCCGCGAGGAGTGGAGTTCAGAGTCCCGGCTTGGGCGCTTGTTGGGTGTCGCACGTGGGAACCGATGCTGCTCTGTTTTGCGCTGTTCTAATCCGGTAGGTCGGTGGCTTGGGACCCTAGGGCCTCCGTGGCCTGGCGCCCGTGGACGCACCCCGGAAATCCGCAGCGGGACCTTTGTTCGCGCCCTGGCTGCGCGGGCGCGGGAACTCGCTGTAGTAGGGCTAGTGGCCTCCACGCGCGCGCCATCGCTAGCTGTTGAACTTGACTCCGAAAGCGTTTTAAGCCTAGCCCCTCACCCCTACCTTGTTCTCCCTACATTGCTGCGATTGCTATCGTGTCCTTATTGGACTCAAAGGGCGACCTTAAACGAAGTCCTTGGAGTTTTTGTGAGTTGCTGTGGCGTTTAATTCCGACTCTCAGCCACCCGGGGTGTTACCGAGCAGAGCTGTGCACCCTAGTGTTTGGCTGTAATCTTTACGGGAGGAGATCGGCAGGCCATTTCTCCGTGGCGCTGCAGGTTAGCTTTGACTTTCCAACCTGTGTGTTAGCTGCCCAGGACTGGTAAAATGGATGGAGCCTGGGTTTGCTAAGGCTACACCTGTTATCACCACGTGCATCCAACATCGCTCTGGGGGAGGGGCAGAGCCTGTTGCTGACATCTGTCAGCCGCCCTTGGAGAGGAACCTTGTACTGTCAGCTCCTGGCCCATTGCCCTGTGCTTCCAGTTCCTGGAAGTTAAGGAACTGTTGGTGTGCCCAAAATGAGATGCTTCACCCAGCGCTTGCTGGACTGGAAACACCAGTTTTAGTTCTTAGGGGCTGCTGAGTTGAGGAAGTGTGCAGTGGAAGTGGATAACTGGGCTTTTGTTTAGTGCGCTATCAGGGGAACGGGCTTTGCAACTTGGGTAAACCTAGGTTCAGATTCTGACTCTTGTAGCGTGCCCTGAAGCACACAGCTCCTGTGTGGAGCCTCCTTTTCCTCCTCAGTGAAGAGCACACAATCAGTGTCTGCCAGGCATTGACCTCTGCTGATTCCTGCTGGGTCCACTTGCAGTTGCAAAGGTCCCTGGTTGCTTTGGCCAGTGACTTTCCTTTCTGGCTTCCTTCCCTGGGCTGTGGTGAGGTTCACTCGTGCATGATATTTCTACAGAATGGTCAGGCGCCCAGCGGACTCAGTAGGTGTTAGCAGGTGCTCAAAACAAAACAACTCACTGCCATCCAGTTGATTGTGACTCATAGGCTGCTCACGGCAAGGTTGGCAGTTCAAAACTACCGGCTGCTTTGTCGGAGAAAGATGAGGCTTGTTACTCCTGTAAGGATTTACGGTCTCGGAAACCCACAGGGGGCAGTTCTACTATGTCTAGGGTCGCTATGAGTTGACCAGGTGGCAAGAGAGCGTTTTAGTCCGTACTCAGTGACTAAAACTTGGCTCTGAGTGCATTCAGTCTGATATCATACTAATGCTCACAGCCAGCTAAAGAACTGTGACTATTCACAATTTATGTATGAGGGAGTGGAACACAGAGATGTTAGCTGAGTGGGGTCACATAATTAGAGCAGGAGTCACACGTTAGCAAGTATGTGACCCCAGCAGCCTGGGTCCAAGGTCCATGCTGTTCACACACCCCGCCTCCTGTCACATGCTCTGGACATAGTCCTCCAGGTAAATAACCCCAAGAGAGCTGGAGAAGTGGAGGAGTCCAGCTTGACAGGTAGCAGCTGTTCATCCACTTGCTTTTGGGAGAAGAGAAAGTGTCTTTTCCACTGGGGTTCCCTAGTTTCTGGCTTCAGATGTCACAGATTGAGAAATAGCTTCAAGGGGAGGGAGGGAATAAAGAGGAGCTGATATGAAAGGGCTCAAGTAGATAGAAAGTGTTTTGGAAATGATGGCAACATCTGTACTAGTGTGCTTGATATAATTGATTTATGGATTGTTATGATATCTGTTAGAGCTCTCAAAATTACTTTTAAAAAAATTAAAATGTGAAAATTTAGAAGAAAAAAGAGAGAAATAACTTCAACTGAGGTTTCTAGAAAACCCTTTGAAATGTGCAAAATAGGTGCCGTAGTCAAGGTGAAAAATCTGTGCTCCCGTCTACCCACTCTGTTACCCTGGGGCTTCTTGAATCTCAGCTCTGTGGCTCTGTTTTAACCATGAGGATCTGACACCAGGTAGAGGCAGTCCCTTTGGGGAATAATCTTTTTTTTAGAATGTTCATGAGGCCATATCTGTAGGGTGTGCCCTACACAGATTAGGATCAGGATATAAGCACCAGGAGGCACAGAAGCAAGCAAGTACAAATAGATGCCAAGTGAGGGTCACCCAGGCACCGGGGACTGCTGGAGCTGGAGAAGCAGAATCAAGGACTTCCCTCCTCCACAGACAGCTAAGCCAGACAAAAACGAAATGAGAAACTATCACTGCCAACCAGGGGATTTGACTCATAAAGACCCTAGACGACAAAGTAGAACTTTGTTTTTGAAGCATTTCTGTGACTACATCTTTATGAGAGCTGACAGCCTCGTCTTTGTCCCATGGAGTGGCTGGTGGATTTGAACTGCCAGCCTTTCAGTTAGCAGTCCACTTCTTACCGACTGTGACACCACCGCTCCTTCCCCTAATGCAGGCACCCTGAATTTGGACATCTAGTCTCCTGAACTGTGAAAAGATAACTTTTGTTAACGCCCTATTTGTGGTATTTCTGTTATAGCAACACTAAAACCAAAGAAGGTATAAATGGGTTAAAGGATTACACTAGGGATTACTTGATCCTTAGTGGTCATTGGATGCTCAAACTTTCAAGTTCCCTGCCCTGGAGTTGATGCCAGTTCAGAGCAACCCTACAGGACAGGGTAGAACTGCCCCTGTGAGTTTCTGAGACGGTGACACTTTATGGGAGTAGAAAAATCTCATCGTTCCCTCGGGGAGTGGCCGGTGGTCTTGAACTGCAGACCTTGTAGTTATCAGCCCAATGTGTAACCACTAGCAGAGCTCCAGTCATTGGGTACAGGACTGGGAAACTCCTAGGAGACGGTAGAGAGCAGGGAGGGCGTGTCTAGACGGAGTGAGTGGAGTGCCAGGGACCATCAGCTTTTGGACAAAAGTCACTGTGTCTCAACACAAGTGTTGTGCAAAGAACAAGCTTTGCCGTCAAGGCGAAGGGGCAGCAAGTTGACGATATTAGAGAGAAATCAATGAGTGTGGGCAGACACTGCAGAGCTTTCCCCTGCTGAGAGCGGAGCTGAGTAGCTCTCACCACGGAGTTGATCGTCTGTGGACAGAGGAGGACTGTTTGGTGATTTAGAAATAGCTGCTGTGTTGTTTGCCTCGTTTAAGCCCTTTGGAACTTTACATTGCTGCTGTGAGGGACCGTGACATGTGGGTTTTGGTAGGTGCTGTAGAGTCGATGCCACCTCATGGCGAACCTCTGTAAACAGCAGAACAAAACAAGGCCTCCTCCGACGCCACCATCCTCACAACTGTGCCCGCGTTTGAGCCCCTGGTCACAGTCACTGTGCCAGGCCATCTTGTCGAGGGCCCTCCTGCTTTTCCTCTGCCCTCCTGCTTTTCCAAGCGTGATGTCTCTCCTGACTACAGTCCAAAGTAAACAAGACAGAGGCTCACCATCCTTGTTCAAAGTAAACAAGACAGAGGCTCACCATCCCTGCCTTCTGGCTGTGCCTCTTCCAAGACAGGTTTGTTTGTTCTTTTGGCAGTCCATGGTATTTTCAATATTCTTGGCCAGCACCGTAATCCAAATGCATAGCTTCGTCTTCAGTCTCTTTGATGTGTTAAAAAACACACACACAAAGCTGTCACTAGAAGATAAGGACTGCCGAACACCTGACCCATCTACATGCTAGAGTATTTTATAACTCACATTATATCATGAATATTGTCATAGAAGCGAGGCATTGAATAAGGACTACTGACGAAGAATTCATGGATGGATTTGAATTTGAGTGTTGGTGAAGAATATACCATGTTGAAAGGAGGGCAGCCAGAATCTAGGTTAGAAGAAGCATAGATCTACGTTAGAAGTACAACCAAACTGTTGCTTAGAAGCCAGGGTCATGAGACTTCATCTCCTCTATTTTGGACGTGGTATCAGGAGGGCTCAGTCCCTGGAGCAGGAGAGCAGACTTGCAGAAGTAGAGGATCATGGAAAAGAGACGTCAACTAGACAGATTGACACAGTGGCGGCCACAATGACCTTGAGGACAACAACAATTGTGAGGATCAGGCCTCCCCAGGCAGTGCTTCGTACTCTTGCCCATGAGCCGAACGGGTGGCGCCTAACAGCAGCCAACATGATGGGACACAGTATGGAAGTTTCTTAAAACAGTGAAAATAAAAAATAGCAATAAAGCTACCATAGGAAGAGACTTCAACAAGTTAAAAAGTTCCTGAAAACTTTTCATTATATTTTCATTTCCTTTGTTCCTGTGAACTCCCTGAGGCTTGAACATATGACCCAGCAATTGCACTCTGAGGTGTGTTCACAAAGGACGTGAAAGCAGGGTCAAAGAGATGCTTGTACACAGTGTTCACTAAAGCACGATCCATAGGGGCTGGATAGAAACGAGGTCATGAATGTCTAATTAGGAACGTAGTACCAGGCTTATTTTTCCTTTGGGTCCTATCTAAGTACTGTAAGCATGAAACAGCTCATGACACGGTGGAACTTGGAAACCATTATGCTGAGTGAAGTCAGTTGGTCACAAAAGGACAAATACTGCATGAGGGAGAAGACTTTCCCATAAAACCTTGTCGGAGTGCTTGTTGACTTGGGGGTGACCTTATCACAGTGCTATATGGGAGCGAATGAATGGTCTTCTCCCTCTCCCCACATCTTAGAGGTACATAGAGAGGGCGTGGTCTGTGGTTCATGGGCACCGGGCAGTCTTGCTACCTCGTGTCCTGGAAGACTGGAGTGGAAGACTACAGGAGAGCAGAAGCCTGCCTTCACCTGGGTATTTACCTTTATAGTAGTGGACTCACGCAGTACTTGTCCTTTTGTGATCAGCTGACTTCACTCAGCCTAATGGTTTCCAAGTCCCACCGGGTCATGAGCTGTTTCATGCTTTCGTCACTGTTGTTTAGGGATGCATAGGGTTCCATTGTGCGTGTGTGTGTGTGTGTGTGTGTGTGTAACAGTTTCTTTATCCATTCTTCCACGGATGGGCATTTGCACGGTTTCTATCTCCTTGCTACTGTGAACTGTGATGCAGTGAACATGGGAGAGCATACCTCTGTTCCGTCTCGTACTTTAGAGTGTTGCGCAATGGTGGTATTTATTGCTGGAATGAGTGGGTTTTCCAGTCCCAGTTATTTTAGGTGCTGCCGTATTACTTTCCGTAGCAGTTGTACATGCTTACAAACCCAGCGACAGTGTATAAAATCTCCAATTACTTCCTATCCTCTCCAACATTTGTTGTTGTTTGCTTTTTTTTAAAATTGGCCTATCATTGTAGATGAAAGGTGATATCTTGTCATAGTTTTCATTTGCATCTCCCTCAAGGGAGTTTTGAGTGTTCTTGGAGTTCTGGTTACAAAAAGAAGTCTAAAGGGGCAGGTTCAGGGCTGCAGGGTAGATAGGATAAGGTTTTCCAGTGAAACTCCCATGAGCCAACCTTGGCTAGGCATGAAGAGTGAGCCGTTGCATAGGAGGGGAAAATTCCTCAGTGCAACATAAGGGGTCTTGGTTTCACCGAAGTGATTTTCCATTTTCTGAAAATTTCTTCATGGTGAGCTCCTAGAATCATTTTGTGTTCGTGAAGAAAATCTATCAAGATAACCCTTTGAGTCCCCCCACCCCCGCCCCACACCTACATAACAGCCAAACCCAATGAGCTGATTTCTCTGACTTGAATTTAACCCGCTCAGCAGATTCCCTTGGAAGCCATTATTTTGATTGAACCTAATTTTTGTTTAGGATGTCTGTGTTAGACAGGGTTCTCTAGAGAAACAAGACCAGGACACTTAGGATTTTATATATATTTATATAGAGATATACTACATAAGAAACAAACAGCTAATTAGTCTGTAGAGCAGTACACATGGGTCAGGGCAGCTCATTTCCGTGAGACAGCTAATACACTGGCAGCCCTTCAAGTCACGAGGGCCACCGGGTGCAAGTCAAGGAAGAAGACAGCTGAGTCCTCTGTAGAGTAATGCAGGCAATCCGGACACAGGCAGCAAACAGCAATGCAGGTCACCAACAGTCAGCCAGATGACGGTCTGACAGTCCCCAGCTCAAGCGATGTATACTCAAGTAGCATGGCGAAGCAGGTCTTCAAGGAACCTCAAACTACAGCGACACAGTCCACAGGTTGGTGTCCCACAGGTAGTGCAGCTGGCAAGTTGAGGCAGAGAATCAGCTAAGGCAGCCACACACTGGTCAGATCATGAAAGAGCAAGAGACAAGAAAGGCGAGGCTCACCCAGCCATTTATCTCTCTGCTCTTCAATTAATCCCACCTGTGTCCATTGGCCAGGAAGACACAATAAACCTACCTATCACAATATCCTAATGGACTAAGACAAGTATATGACTGAGACAACTTGTCTGTAGCTATCCACTGATCTCAGAGATAGGTAACCAAGTTTTGTTTTTTCGCTTGTTATTGTACATGAAGGTTTACAGAGGACATCACCAGTTTTACACTCAATGATTCACACATCTTGTTTCTGGTGAATTACTCTGAGAAATTCAATGCTTCCCTAGTATTCCTGCTCCCCTGTAGCCTGTCTATTTGAAAATTGAGCAGTGGGGGTGAGTTCATTTCCACATCTGAAGGATGATGAAAGGCCATGGTGTGAGAGGTTCTGTTAGGTTTCACGGGTGGGAAATTCCTCGGTTCTTGGTTTCTCATGAGAAAGAATTCACACCGAAGCCTGGTTTGTGATCCAAGTGGGTTTTTACAAGGGACGGAAGAAGTGTCAGGTTTTACAGTCACTGAACATGGGCAACTTTGCAGGACTGCACACCCACACGTGGTGCCCTGAGGCCTGAGAGGCTGTGACCAGCCGAGTGGGCACTGGACAGGAGCAAAGCGTGAAGAAAAAGAAGAGAGGGCGGATTCACGGTCCAGGTATATGAGCCCTGTGGCTGGGAGGTGTAGTCCAAGGTTTTGGTTGATCCCATTGGCTGAATTAAGCTCACCTGGGCCTAGTTCGGGCCACCCAGGTATACCACCCACCTGGCTCAGACTTGAATTGGCTCATGCTCAGTAGTCGTTATGGCTGGCTAAGGGCTCCCATGACTCTCCTCCAACCTCTTATAGGGGCCTTCAGGAATGGAGAGGGACAACCCCCTGTCCCTGTTTCTCGAAATCTAACAGTTCCAGCAGTCTCTGTCTTATCAGTAAACCTGATCTCTTTTATGGCTTTCGATTTTCCACACAAAAAAATTCCACAGTGTTCTCCAGGACTTTCTCGTGAGGCTCTTTTGAGAGCAGTGGTGGTGGTGCCTGGATGCTGGCCGGTTCTTCTGGTTCCAGCCTCATGGAGACCGATGTTTGTCTGGTTCATCAGGCCAGTGACCAGATTGTTTCCGTGTGTCTTCGAATTTCCTCACTCCTGTTCCCTCTGGACAGAGAGAGACCAGTAGTCGTCACACCTCAGTTGGTACTCACCAAACTGCGTTGTAGAACATTCCTTTGGGGACTGTGTTAAACCTTTATTTGGAATGAACTCAGCACATGTGAACTGGAACCTTTAGTGGCAGTTCTTTTTTATGTGCCTCATGTTCTATGATCTCACTTACATGAAAACAAGAAGAAAAGACAAGTGTATAGAGATCCAAGTTTATTAGTGCTTGCCAGGGGCAGGGAAGGGAAGATGGGCTAGACAGTGCTTAGTAGAGGCCTTTCTTAGAGCAAAACTCTGGAATACACTTTCACAAATCCTTAGAGAAATGTGCCCAGACTAAAATGAGTGCTTTCTGAACTTAAAATTGTAATTTGTCCAGATTGCTGGTGGAGATCGTAAGTCACCAACTGCCCTTACCCTCTTCATCCTTAACTTGTGTCTCAACCCAGAAAAATACCTTGCGAGGTTTCTAAGTACTGAATTTTTAACACGAGGAGACTCAGCCACCTCCTTAAGCGTGGCGTGATCAGCCATCGCTCCCACTGTTCGGTCAGTTGGCAGATAGTATTAGTATCTATCTAGTTGTGCTTGGTACTGTGGGGGATTTTTTTTTAAGTAGTGTTCATTCAGTGTTTTAAAGGAGCTTAAGTTTAAATGGTAAGATGTGACCATGAAAATTTCGTTGAAATTGCAGTGTTGGCAAATTCCTTTGGGTCAAGGGTAAGGTAAGCTGTTGAGAAAACAGGGGTGGAACTCACTGGAGAGGATCGCTTCCAGGGCCTCCGGGGGTAGGAGGGTGATGGGCCTTAATTCTCGTTTTGACAGCCATTCACTCAGGAGCCCAGCGTTCTGCAGTAGGACGCACCCAGTGTTCTGCGGGAAATGCTAGCAAATAGGCCGATGCCTTGGCAGTTCTGGAGAACTGACGAATTGAAAGAAGCTTAGAGGAAATTTCATGTTGAAAATGATGCAACGTTTTTCCTTTTCAGGCAACTTTAAACCCAGTGTGATGGCTGCGCCTGTCAACAACGTTCACGGGAATGCTGACCTCTGGGCCTCACATCATAAGATGCTGGCAGAGCCCTTGAGAGAGAACGACATTGAGGTGGGGAGGCCTAGCAAGGTTCTTTAAATTAGAGGCTTTTGTGGACTCTCCGGGTTCTAATCATGTCGTGAATTATCTTTCTGAGAATCAGCTATGCAATTACAATACTAGGACCAGGTTTAGAGACAAGGGATTACAAAGTGATTAGATGTCTGTTAAGAGCAAACTTAAATATCTATGGGGATAAGTCAAGTATTGTTGCAAAATTATAAAAACCTGTATTTAACAAAATATCAAAATGGGAAGTTGTTCTCCCCAAACCCCAAATATATCAAAATATCAAATTGCTTCTCAGCACATCCTTCGTCTGGGTGTGTACACTTTGTTCGGAAGGCAGTGTTTCGACTTTCTAGCCCTTCCCCTGGGAGCCTAAGTGGCATAGTGATTCCTTGCTGGGCTACTTACTGACTGCAGGGTCAGCAGTTCGAAACCACCAGTGGCTCCGAGGAGAAGGAAGGGGCTTTTTACTCCCATAAAGAGTGACCGTCTCCTTGAAAATAGCTCATAGAACTATGTCAAGTAGGCTGTAAATAACTTTCTGAAATGGGGCTGTGCATCTGCACTCTGTGATAATGATGTGTAACATTAATCAAAGCTCTATAAATTATCATAGCATAAATATGCCACTAAACAATTCTCGTAATTTTTAATTAATTAATTTGCTCTTGAAACATGTGGTAAGCAAGAATAAAACTATGCCATCCAACAACTCCCTAATTGGCAATAAAATAAAACATAATTGAACCCCAAAATCCAGTTACAGTCTTGGAAACACTCATGGGGCAGTTGTACTCCATCCGGTAGTGTCTCTGTGAGTTGGCAACCACTCGGTGGCAGATAGAACCCTCCTTCCCTAAAGAAGTCTGCTCTTTACACCACAGCAAACTGTCAGTTTTGTCAGGCACCCTCAAGGGATTTAGTTGGTGGACCTTTTAAATGTTCTTTGAATTGAGGGATCATGACCCATTTGAGGGGCAGGATGGGGCTGTGGGATGGGTGGGGTTAAGTTTCTCAACAAACGTGTTACCCTCGGAGGATGGCCAGGTGCAATGTCATCATAAGAAAAATTCCTTGGCACAACTTTTCTTGCTTTCTTCTCCTCAGTGTAATTTTCAGTTTTGTTCAAACTTCTTCCTCATAAGCCCCTTGCGATCATCCTTTGTCCTCTGGGAAAAAATGTATCAGGGTTACCCTTTAGGAATTCCAGAAAACAGTTACTGTAACCTTGTGAGCTGTTGGAATTGGGCTTTTTTAAATTTTGGCCTTGACGCCGAGACGTGTTACTGAGAGGAGAACTCTTCTACAGCTATCCACTGTCCCAGGCACATGCGTAACCACGTTTTATTTGGGATAAGCCTAGGTGTGTCTGCACTGGAACCCTGGTACCATTGTTGTCTTACTCACCTCGTGTGAATTCCTGCACCTGCTGCACCCGAGTGATGCTGTGGAGCAGTGGCCAGCAGAGATCTTTGCAAACGTGGCTCTTCCCTTATCATTCAGCAGGAGGCTGTGCAGACATCTGGAAGCATCTGTTACTCACTTCTTTTTACCATCGCTTTATGGAGATAGTGTTCACAGCCCAAGCACGCCTCTCATGTGAGGTGCACCGGCTGGTAGGGTTCATTCTCCCCCTGGGGCTCTGCACCCATCACCACAGTCGATTGTAGGAACCTCTCATCACCCCAAAGGAAACCCCAGACCCAGCAGCGCTCCCTTCCCTCTGCCCCTGAGCCCCTGGCGGTCGCTCCTCTCTTATGTCTGGACCTGCATGCGTGTTTTCATCTAAGGACGGGGAAGTAAAAGTAAGATCAGGGAGGCAGAAACTTGTTGAGATGTGAAATGTAGGGGTTAAAAATAAAAATGCAGGAGAGTGTGGAATCAAGAATTAGGCAGGATGCTTCCTTTTCAGATCACCGCACGTCATTTGGTTTTCCTTCATCTGTTGTCCTCTATTGGCTCCTTTTTGATGGTAAGATTTGTGAGGAGATGTGTGCTGTCCCTTAGGTATGACGAGAATCTTCTTAATGCGGTTATTTGGGTTATGGTTGGCATCTTAGGGCTAGATATGAGTCTATAGTAATGGCTTGTTAGGAGGCTGTTGCTTTGATCAGGCAAGTTTTTTAAATAAAAAATGCAAGGGTTGAGTGTGTCTCGTATTATTCTCACTAGGTTTTCAACATCATCAAGAAGGAGAGCAATCGGCAGAAGGTCGGATTGGAGCTGATTGCCTCAGAGAACTTTGCCAGCCGAGCCGTTTTGGAAGCCCTGGGGTCATGCCTAAATAACAAGTACTCTGAGGGCTACCCAGGCCAGAGGTAAGCATGTCAAAATGTGGGTTCTCGGTCGTGAGACTGTCTCCTTCAGTCCTGTTCTCGGACAGCTCTTTTATTATGCCCCACGGGTGATCCCATAGATATTTCTAGAGCCTATATAAATGCTCAAGTTCCGATTTCCCAGTGCCTTTAGAGCAGTGGT